AGTAAAATCAAATTCACTCTGTACGGAGAGGTGGCAGATGGCAGTTAGATGTCCTCTATTTTTAGAATTTATTTTATGAATTTGATGGCAGATTAAATATTATATGCTTATAATCCTCACGGGCTCCAGATATTGGTACTTCTCCTTTGAAGAGGAGAGAAACCATAGGCAGGCAGTCCCTAGCCACAGATTTTACACTGGAGACAGGACACAAATTCACAGGATTTAAAAAATAAATAAAAATAAGAATAAAGAGATAATCTGTTCAAACAGCACAGAAACACGAAGCACACGCAGGATTTAATTTGTAAAGGGTATTGTTTAAATCACGATAAGCTGATACACTGAGAAAAACAGTTCATTTATCACGATCCTCAGCGGCATTCAGTAGGTGTCCTGTTGCATTAGCAATGGGCAACAACGAAGCACTTACTATTAGTGCTCGCACTCCATCATGTAAGGAGTGCAAAGCATTTGGGCAACAGCAGGATACAGGGACTGCCATTAAGTCGCTGCTTGCTGTGCAACCTATATTTGACCACAGAAGCTTTATGTGAGGTTTTGACAGGTATCTCTAGGTTGTCAGGGATGCAGATTGGCTGTGTTCAGAAGTCAGACACTGCTATTTGATCACCTAAACTCAAAACAATTCCAAGCTCCCAGTACAAGCTCTCTGTGGCACCAGCCCCAATCAGAGCCTCAGTGAAAAGGCAATCAATTGGTGCCAATTTCCTGGTACGAATGAGAGGACCTAAAGCCAGATATGTCACCCATAATACAGTAGTTCGATCCCTGAGAAATGCAGAAAGACTCGCTCAGCTGAACACAGTAGTGGAGCTGTGAAGAAGCTGCTTTGGATTGGAGAGACTATTCAGATTAGAAGCCCTCCACCGCCTGCCTTTTTGGATCACCAAGAAAAGCTGGGAGTGAAACACGAAATTCAGGTGCTTCCTCTCAGTCCTGCATCCTTATTGTGGACCTTCTACCTACTAGAACACCAACACAGCAAAGGGCAAGGTGTTCTCATTAGTGCCAGGTTCAGGTGCAGGCCTGCTCACAGTGTTATTTTCCATCAGAGATTTTGTCATCAAAGATTTGCTTCTACATGGGGCTTCTTATCTCTGAAACAGAATTGCCTCATTTTGACAATATGAATGTCAGAGACTAGAAACTAGGCCATTTCTGCTGGCTCGACTGAGAGGCAAAGCATGCTGGGCCCTTCTTTTGTTTGTAACAGTAACACAAACGCAGCTGGGAGAGTGCTGAAATACCTTTTTTAAATTATAATCCATCTCTCTCCTCTGTGTTTCACTCTCATTTTTGTAGCAGGAACCATGTTTTTCTTTCAGTTTTATAGCATCATACAAGAGGCCTTTGAACACTAACTTTGCAAGAAGCAAACAAAAGGGCTTCTCAATAAAAACTAATGCTTCACAATTCTCCCTTTCAAGATTGACTGTTAAAATTCCCTGAAGGTAAATCCAAAAGGAAGGGGACTGGGCAGTGATGTCTAAAGGGCCTTGGCGTCTACTGTTCTGCGTGTGAGTGATCTTCAAAACAAACGCATAGAATGTCAGTTTGGTTGGTGGCATTGCCCTCTCCTGGCCAATTTCAGCATAACCCTTGTACTTTCCTACTGTCAAAGCATGGGCAAGGTATGTTGCTGTTACTTCTCCATTTCACGTTTTCATAGTGTGACTGTCACGGTGTCACAGCAGCACCACCCAGCACAAACACCTAAGCCTTCCTTAAAGCCTCCCATCCAAGGACTCTAAAACACTTTATCAACATTCACTAACTGTTCCTCTCCACAGCTCTTAGGAAAGAGAGGGGGATCCATGGCTACACTTTGGATCTCACTGATAAGAATTTGGGTGGGGAAATAAGGCCAAATGAGTTGGATTCTGAACCAAAGTATGCGAGGCCACAACTGCAGGAATAGCAGAAAGAGCTCCCTAATGCAACCAATGCCTTCATGTCACTGAGCCTCTTCCCCCTGCCAGCATCCAAAAGAAAGGACAGGCCCAGTAAGGACTCCAGAAAACTTACAGAAGATGCAGCAGGCTGTGACGTGCGACAGTGAACTACATCCACCAGAGTTCCCATGGTGGTTGCCACGACTTAAGTCAATGCTAAGGGGAATGAATGTACCAGTGCTCTGTCTTCCTTGAAACCTGAGGAGGAGAAGCAAATGTATTAAACACAAAGGGAAGAAACTTCTTAGGGAGAAGAAGCCGGGGCGGGGGGGGGAACTTACTAAGGCAACTCCTTAATTTAACCAGAACAAAGGAGGAAAGTTGCCATCTTCTTTCATTGCCTTCAGAAAATATATTTAAGGGCTACAGTCCTAGGACTTCGGGAAAGTTACACATTTCTGTGCCCTATTTCACATGTGAACTATGTACAGCAGACAGAATTCCCTTGAAACATATGTAACATAAGGGTTCCTGGTCACATTGGCTCATACTGCACAAAGGATCTAATTATTTCTTTACGTGTGTAAAGGGGGAATCCAAATTCAGCAAAAGCTAAAGAAGCTAGGCAGTAGGAAGTTTGTTTGCAGGAGCCAACTTCTACTGTTCCCTACTGTCAAATAACCAGGCTATTACTCAATTCAGTATTAAAGGACCCAAGATCCATAAATAATATTAGGAAACAATTCCACATACTGACTTATCTGTATTTAAGAATTTTTAATAATCTACATTTTCATTTGCATAGTCTTCTTTTAGAAGTCTGAAGTAAAATCTGGAGAAA